ATATTTGACAGCTTTGTAGGAATGAACACATTTGTAACATTTATTTAAAATACACTTGTTTAAAAAACAAAAAAGGTGTAGCCTATTTCTTTAAGAAAATGGTTACTTCTTTATCATTTTTTAAAAAGAAACTTGCAGTAAAACAATTAACTTATACCCTTTGTGCGCACCATTCCTATTAACTCTTGTAGATACAAAATAACGGTTATGTAATATAAAAAACAACTACAGAAAAAAAATTCTCCCCATCATTGTGAAAATTTGTTCTCTGTTTTTAATGCTTGTTTCCCCACTACTCAGAGAGGTAAATAAACTGAATATCTGTGCCCTAAGGGTTAATTTTCTGAAGGGTGGGGGTTGGGGGTGGAGTTCAGGATGTGTCTGTGTGCAGCTGCAGTTTGCAGCAGGAGAGAATTTGTTGAGTTTTGTTGAGTTTGTTGAGTGTTTAGTTTAACAGGGGTTYAACATGAGATGTGTCTTTAACAGCAGCTGTTTGGAAAGTGTTTTGTTAGTAAAAGCTCAAAAGAGCACACGGGTGACTTTTGGTTCCTTTTTTTTTTTTAGCATTTAGAGCGCTGCTTCTATAATGATCAGTGCTATTTTTAGAAGGTTTTCTGTGGGCGACTCAGAAGGTCCCTGCTGGCGACCGGGTGCCTGTGGGGACCGTATTGATGACCCCTGATCTGGAAATAAAAGAACAAGTACAGTAAAATGGTCTTTTTAGGAACCAGAATTAAATTTACACAAAAACACATCCTTTGTCACATGGAACAGCTGCTTGGACAAACATCAGTTCATCTCATGTGCTTTTCTGTGTTAAAGAAATCATTTAATTATTTTTCAACCATTCTGGCCGATATGAAACATCTCTGATCACATACAGAAGAGGAGCCCGCGAGGGGGCATGAGGGGATTTTTTTTTTGCCTTTCCTTACAATATCTTTGTGTGACCTCACAATGCCTTTGTGTTAACTCACAATACTTTTGGGTTACCTCTCGATACCTTTGTGTTACCTCGCGATACCTTTGTGTTACCTCGCAATACGTTTGTGTTACCTCGCAATACTTTTGTGTTACCTCGCAATACATTTGTGTTACCTTGCAATACCTTTGTGTTACCTCGCTATACTTTTGTGTTACCTTGCGATATTTTTGCATTACCTCGCAATGCCTTTGCGTAACATCGCGATACCTTTGCGTAACCTCGCGATACCTTTGCGTAACCTCGCGATACCTTTGCGTAACCTCATGATACCTTTGCGTAACCTTGTGATACCTTTGTGTTACCTCGTGATACCTTTGCATTACCTCTTGATACCTTTGCGTTACCTCACAATATTTTTGCGTTACCTTGCAATATGTTTGCATTACCTCGTGATGCTTTTGCGTTGCCTTGCAGTACTTTTGCGTTCCCATGCATAAGTTTGTTTTGTATGAACTGAATTAAATCAGACTTTTATTATGAAATATCTGGTTTCTGAAATAGGGTGTGTCACTACAAGTTTGGGAAATTGACATTGAAATGCATGGCTGCACTGAGTTAAAATATCGACATATTACATACTTCAATGCGTGGCTGTGTGATATATTTATTCTGAAGCTGAATTAAAGTAGTACGCTAACTCCAGTATAATGGTGACCATGTGAATTTGGTAATTAACAGGCAGGTACAACAGTAATAAATGGCTTTTGTGAGGAAATGCAAATGAAAAAAAAATGCCCCAAGTCCCCTCGCGGGTCTGTGATAGTAAGGATTGAAAATAAAGCTGTAGTTATCTGTAGGTGTCCCATTGTGAGGCATAGAACTGCGTGTTTGACCAAAGTAAGGCCAGTTCTCCTTGATTTACAGAGAACAAACTTTCAGAAAAAGAATAAATTCTTTGCCTTTGACAGCTTTTCCAGTTACTATGTTTTTTTAATATATTTTTTTAGGTTCGTGGCAGTAAAGGAGATGTGCTGTATATTCTGGATGCAAGTAATCCCCGCTATGCCAACTGGCTGCGGTTTGTCCATCAGGCACCTTCACAGGAGCAGAAGAACTTGGCAGCAATTCAGGTACATTATAACTCCGTAGACCACAAATCCCTCAGCTACTGCATACCCGCCTCCCCACCCCAATAATGAATTTTAACAAAATAAAATAAATAACATAAGATAAACTCATGCATCAGATTAGATAAATAAAAAGTTTTTCAATATAACATGACAACTTTTAAAATAAAATCCCCAAATTTTGTTCCACTATTTGTTTTGATCAAGATTAAGGAAGTCTGTTGTTGATGTTGTAAAACATACAAAATGTCTTGTGATATGAAGTTGTGAAAAAAATGTTTAAAGATGAGTCTGCAGCACCACAAGAAGCTGAAGCATAGTTCTGCATAAAATATGTAACTGTTACC